TTGTTCTGCTCCAAAACGTTTGGCTCTGTTGTTTTTCTTTTCAGAAGACCCTGAGAACAGACACTGAAACAGCCATAATTATTGGTCTAACAGCCTAAATGCAGTTGTCGTGGTTACTGGCATATTGATCCAAATTGAAGGGGTGACACTTTTTGGCAGTGTCCTGCTGTGATACTGATTGAATGAATGATAACGCATTACCTTGAAATGCCAAACACTTTTTCTTCCTTTTCTTACTTTTTTAGCACTGTTCAATTAATTCTCATCATTATTCTTTCATATAGTTTTGCAGATATACAAGTACAAACTGTAGGAAAGAGGAAAAAGTACAAATCTAAAAACGATGATGAATGCTGTATGAGCTTCAATTTTGAGTTCAGGGGATCAATGTTGATGAGACTGTCCACTGTTCATTCATCACACATAACTGTGGGGATTCACCAGCAAATTGTCATCTAGTTTAAGCTCTACAGTATTCAGGTCTATAGCTCTTCACTGTGTTAGAAGAAATGCAGTTTCAGTGCATGTTCAGTGTATTTTTTTATTCTAATCATTAACAAGCCCAAAGGTGTTACAGACCAATTTAACCACCAGGGGGAAGTAGTAGACTGCAGTGAGTCAAGGAGTCTTGCAAAGCATGATTAGATACTGACACAGATGTTAGGCAAATTAATGAAAAATAAAAGTTTTGCTGTTAACGGGAGACGACGGTAGACCTTCGCCTATGTGGCTGTGGTTGTACTGGACAGAACCTGTCCTGCTCTTAGTCACATTTTCCTTCAGCAGAAAATGATATTGAAGCAAGAGAAGCGTAATACTGATCTACTGTGGTGATAATCTTGTCTGCCTTCAATCTGCCGTCTCATCTGATGGTGAAATTACTTCACAATTTGAAATCAATTTATGTACACCAGAGAGAGGTTCAAAACCCTCAGGTCCACTCTAAAGACACGTAGAGAATTGCTGCAGTTTGATTTCTGTGACAATTACAGGTGTGAGAGGATCTGAGAGCAGCGAGAGACCTGGACAGCGAAGTGGTGGGGAGACAGATTGACTGAGGGGGAGATTGGGTGTCTGCAGGTCTTTTAATTCAAATGAATTCAGAGCTTTGAATTTACATCCCTTTTAAAAATAAAAATAAAAAACAAGGTTTTTAAAAATCTTCAATTTCACATACAAAGGTTTGAATATTTTCCAACTGCCTCTCATAGGTGGTGGGTTTAGTTATAAGATGTTTTGTATCTGGTTTCAGGCTGCTGGCAGAATGTTTTATTTCTATAACCTCAAAGTGAGATTGTTTGATACTGAATTGTTCAACCCTTTCTTATGGAGTTTCATTTCATGCTATCAAATCTGCAGGAAAACACACTGTCACTACTGTTACCTACAGGAAGCTCATCAACTCAGAGCAAGCAGGTCCCAAGCATAGATTACACATTTATTTTTCAATGGTGTAATCCATACATCATTTTTGCCATCTATATGCGTCCAGTTCACTTTGATTGATTAGCTATATTAGGAATTTTTTGCTATATGCAACTGGGAAGTATAGACACAAATATCCATTGTTCTTTGTGTTCATATCTTAACAACCTAAGAGGAAAGCTCAGGGGCAAGTTCAAGTTAAACCTCATGTGGTCAGGAAACAGGGATGTCTACTGAGATTCTGTAAATAAATGACTGTATTGAGAAAATGTGCGTCGGTGTGATAGAGATAATCCTAATACAGTAGCATCTGTGTGACTGCTGTGTTTGTCTCTCAGTAACCTTAAGTGCCCTTTAAACCTCAGCCTGTGCCATCGCAGGGATGATGTTGCACGAACAGTAGTTAACACACTAATTCTGCTGCCAGCATCATGGGGAATTATCAGCTGCATCCACAGCCGTATGCAGTGGCCTTATGAAGGGCCTGTGTGAAGCATAATGCTTCATGGACCACTCCATCAGGGGGAATGTTTTCTCACTTTGACGTATCATCATAACCTCTGGCATCTTTTCAAACCATTCGTCCTTTCATCTGCCCTTGCTTTCTTCAATCTCCTCTTGAGGTTGCTGTAAATCAACTAACCATGTCCCCTTTTTGTCTGGGTCACTGTTGTTCTTTCCTTTAACTCTGAGACAAATGGAGTAACATTTGTGACCTGTGTCAAGTGATGTGTCTCATATGATCTCACTTAGATAATCACCATGGCCCCACAGATTTGACCCTTTTTTAAAAAAAAATGTTCTGCTCCACCAACTACTTGCTTGCTATGCTTGTGCGGCTTGTTTTTGTTGTTGACCTAGTCCTTTGCTTTATTCTCCTTTAAACAAAGAAAAATAACATCTTTAATTATTACGTTTTATTATTATTTACCTTAATGGAGCAGGTTTCATTTCAATGTTCAAGGTTGTAATAGACTTGTGTCAGTTCACTTTTGTAGTTATTTATATTTTTTCTTCTTTATTTTGAAGAAGTTGCAATGAGCTTTATTAATGTATTGGCCAGGGGAGGTGAGGCCTATATTATACATATCCAAATTGATATATCTCCTATATTGTCAGCTAGCCTAGAGCCTAGAGACAGACATTTTCCTCTCCAGGTTGTAAATAACATCATGCCTGACATACTTATTGTGTAGTCTAATCAATCGCTATACTTCTAAGCATAGAGATCTTCAAACACACACGACTTCTGCTGGGGAATGATAACTTCAGAGGTTATGAAATGAGTTCCCCCCAGTTTTTACTGTTTCTGCTCCCACCTCTGTTTCAGAAGGAGGGATGAAAGAGAAGAAAGAACCACAGCACATCAATAGCTTTCTATATCCTGGGACTCATGAATTCTTGACTACTACCAACTGTTGTCTGAGTAATGCCTCAGAGAAATAATGCAGTATATTTCAGTTGTATGTTTCCCCAGTAGATGACTTGGTCCTTTGTTTGTTTGTTGTAAGCCCCTAGATGAACTACAAGCTCATTCAGTGTTCAGGAAATCAGATGTGTATATATAACACAAGAGGATTCATTACTTAATTAGTCAGTTAGTCATACACAATTTGCTATAATCTGTCTCCATTAAGATTTGTATTTTGTATATCCCTACAGAGATTTATAGTTTTGATGTGAAATGTATTAATAAAGTTGCTGTTGTTTTATAAGATCTACAATTTTTTTTTTAGTTAACTTATACTGTGGAACTGATTCCAAGGAAATGATCAGAAAGTTGCGCACTAGTTTAAGCACCTTTCTCTTTTGTAGAAAATACGATGGAAAAAAATGTGTGGTGGACTGTTGATAGTATATGGCTCTTTTTCGCGTCACTTTTTGAAAATATCTTTGCTTTGTCCAACACATATGACTAATTTCAATATTATTCACAAGGTAAAGAAGTGTGATGTGAGAGGTTTTGCTCTCTCCATTGTCTTTCTGTCACCTTTTGTGCAGATAAAAAAAAAAAAAAATAGGGGATGCCCTGCAACAAGACTTTTATCATTAGGCTACATACAATACAACTTCACTGTCCATCCAAATTTGTCCACATCCTTCACTAAGACCACAATGTCCGGGGGCTACTGGTAACAGAAGTTGTCCAGTAACTTCAGCAGCCATTCGTTAACCTCCAGCTGGAGTTCACGCTTTATAGGCTACTGTATGAACATCAATCATAATTAACTTCATGTGCCGTATATCCTGTGGGAACAGTAAATTTATTAAATTTCCTGTAATTTCATTTTACCTTACCATTGCGATGTTGAAATAATTAGATGGATTTTTACCTAGGGGCGAAACTGTGCGTACACCTTGTCACTCATAGCTGACTCAAAGCTCGTGAGCATTGCGCCCACATGACCACGCCCCCCTCATTATCAGGCACAAGCGTCATCATTCTCTCCTCCCTCGGGCGGAAGTGGGTCTATTTTTTTCTCAGTCGGATAAGAGCGGCTCGAGGAGCTGCAGCACGAGCAACACGCGCCCATGAGAGCGCACACCTTCTGTTTATGTTAATGTTAATTCACTCGAGAGTAAACAACGGCAATAAAAAAAAGTAAGGGACGTAGTTAAAGTCCATACGGTCGCTGGACCGAGTTTTTTTTCCGGTTATACGACAATCTCTTTCCACGCCGCCGGAGGAAAAACCCTGCGCATTCCTCCACGCAGAGCGCCCGAGAGGGAGACCAGCCTACGGACTGGACGGGAGCTGGAAGCGGCCTCTTCACAAGGTGGAGCGGTAAATTCACCCCATAGAGGCTTGTCGTAGACGTCCTGTCTGATGTTTGGACTCTCTCCGTGTTCGTTTTCGATGCCCTAACGACCCAAGGCACGCTATGGGATCGTTGCTTTGATGAATAATTTACGGTCCCTCGGTCCGAGGCTCGCGCTGCGACTACCAACCGACCGTTGGCTGCGCCCGACGCCGCCTGAACGGACCCCGATGGTGGACTAGAGAGAAAAAACACCGAAACACAACGACGCAGAGGCCCCCGATTGGAGTGCAGAAAATTAACTATAAGATTGAAATAATTTGGTACTCGTATGGGTGCTGTTTTGTAGCTCAGAGCCCCGTAGTCATGTTGCCGAGTCGGTGGGGGAGGAGAGACGGAGCCCCCAGTACTTCGACGCCCATCCAGTGTCACTCCAGTTTCGGGTTAATTTTATGAGCCTCAAGAAGCACCATCGGACACTTTGGCTCCACACAAGCGCCAACATCATCCATTGTCATCTTGTTGGTCTTTATTTGAAAGAATGACGCGGATGTTTCCCCCCAAAACGCCTTAGACACCTGAATTGATCTTAACAGCCTAAGTATTTTTCTTTTTGTTACCTCAGAAACAATCTTTGAAGAACTGTTTTGAAGAACTGTCTACCTCCTCGATTTGCATCAGGTCAGAGTTATACATACATATAATACAGAGGAAAATCTGTATGTTGATGAGCACCGTTTTCACTTTTGACCTGACTTTAATACCTCATGAATCTACCTCAATTAGCACATTATTTTCTACACAACACATCGGGCCGAGGTGTCCCCAGATGAAGACCTCACCCTCATTGCTGCGCGTGTTGTAAACTGAGCCTGTGTTTCGGTTACGCTGCAGATGGCTTCATTTCCAGACTCGGACCTGCAGACGTGCCCGCTCTGCAAGGAGCTGTGCGGCTCCTCTGCTCCCATCTCCTCCAGCTCGTCTACCTCCTCATCTTCCTCGCATACCTCGTCCTCCTCCAGCCAGACCACCAGGAGACTCCACGTCCTGCCCTGCCTCCATGCCTTCTGCAGGCAGTGCCTAGAGGGCCAGCGCAGTCCCGGAGACCCGCTGAAGCTGCGATGCCCCACCTGCGACCAGAAGGTGTCCATTTCTGAGGCCGGAGTGGACTCCCTGCCTTCCTCCAACTTCCTCTTCAGCAACCTGCTGGACGTGGTGGTGAGCTCTGAGGAGCAGATCCAGAATAAGAACGGCCATCACCACCGGGGAGGCTTAGGTGGAGGCTCCTCCGGCTTCCATCACCCACATGGAGGTCTGTTGCATCCGCACCACCTGGGAGAGCCTCAGTGCAGCTCCTGTGATGAGGAGAACCCAGCTACCTCCCACTGCCTTGACTGCCAGGAATATCTGTGTGACAACTGTGTGCGGGCACACCAGCGGGTGCGGCTGACCAAGGACCACTTCATTGAACGCCTGGGAGAGAACCTCCACCTGGGCCGGGTCAACGCCAACAGCAACTCGGGCCAGCCGGGGGTGTCGGTGTCCCTCGCCCAGTCCCTGCAGAACAACTTCGCCCTGCTGTCCCTGTTCCAGGACCGCATGAGCTTCTGCCAACACCATGACAATGAGGTGAGTAGAGCATAACAATAAAACTTAAACCACTGCCCCTAGAAAGACACAAATGGGCCACACAAACACTTGATCGGTTTTCACAAATTTTGGGGTGTCTTGGCATCTAAACCTGCACTACTGGTCTGGTAGTGTTGGAAGTGTAATAACGTTTTATTTAATGTGCACACTCACACACGTTCACATGCAGTCCTGCAGTGTAATAGTATTATGTGTGTAGTATAGAAGCATACTGGGGGCCATATGGCCTTAGGTTCAAAGGGAGCTGAGTGGCTCTTCACCTAGTTCCCTGGAGACAAACAGGCACGTGTGCCGAGCTGGATTTACACACACACTGACCCTACGTGCACACACACACACACACACACACACACACACACACTTATAGGCATAGACACATGCAGTCTGGTTAATCTGTACCACACCATCCATTCAGGGCAGAGAGAGGCCCCTGTAGCAACTGCACACATGTTTCTATGACCGTTAGATGTCCTATACATGGACATAGTATGGAGATCCAGTTTTTCTCTGATAATGGGAAAGACAAGTTGGAACTGGGGCCCAAAGTTCTTTTTTCTTTTTGGACCATGTGATCTGGGAAAGTAAACTACAAAGGCCTGTAAAACAGGAAACCAGCTTTTTCTTGGTTTAGTCATATGGTCAGGAAGAATAACAAATAGTATAAGTAGGGGGTCTTGAAACGTCATTGTTGGTTTACTTCTGGTTTCTGTTGAGGAGCCGATGGGAGTTTTCCCTGCTGCTGGAGAACACACTTCCAGGCCACAAATGCATAAATAAAAAAATATTTTGTTCCAGAAGTTCATGAAAAAATAATCTGGCAAAATGAGGTCAGTAAAGTCAGCAAACGTTGTTAAAGATACAGAGATCACACAGTATATTTAAATGCACTGTAATAATTCAGTTAATTAAACAGGTTCAGGCAGGAAGAAAGAGCAATGCATGATGATCATGTTGAAACTTAGTATGTAAATTAAATGTGGAGTTTTCTTGTAAACTGACAAATGTTGTGTTTACATTCAGTGTTTCACACCAAAATGCATTGCGGGTGTTCATGAGGCCTAACAAATGTGTTGAAGGCATTTCCTCCAAGCCATTTTTTCATGCCTTTGCAGGTGCATTACTACACTTCTTGGCATGTTACAGACACCATCGGTCAAAAAGTGTGAAAATCAGCAGCAGGAATGTGTTCTCAACCAAAACCCTACCTCAAGTGCTCAACGCTAAAGATGACTATATGCTGGAGGTTTTGTGACAGGCAACTTTGAATCTGTATGTGTGAACGAGATGTTCTTCAAGTTAACTTAAATGTTGTTTCTGTACATGAGCCATGGAGGGACACAGAGTGAATCGGACGCAAAGAGTTGGGTTTAAGAAGAAACAGGATTGTAGTGCTGAGAGAAAACACCTTTTGCCAACAGTAAACCAGTTTCCACATAAACAAATAGAGCTTGTGTTGACGGTTCTGTGAAATTGTGCTTTCTAAAAACATGTACCATTGAAGGTCCTTTTTTTATTTTAATTTAATTTTTTTTGCAGTGTTATTAATTAGCATCCTCTTCTTTTATCCCGACTACCAGGAGGAGATGTTTATTAATTAATTAGGTTCACGGTTATTTACTGTTTGTTAAAATGTTCTGAGTGTACATAGGAGTGCAGCCATATCAATAAATGAACAATTCTGTCTTCAGTATTAAAAATACTGAAGACCACCCCCCACCCCTCTTTATACACAACCCCCATCCACTGCCAGTAAATAGGTGGGTTCAGTTTTCCGGTAAGGGCTTTATTTCCCAGTAATGCCTCACTCACTCATGGTGCTTCAGCCCTGGGGGAGGGAATGACACAGGAGAAGGCTAGTCTTTCTTTACGAATGAGCACTGAGCAAGCAGAGTCATTGTCCGTCACCCGGCTCCACATCCATCATATAGGTAAAATTCCTCATATACCCAGTCAGTCTTTAAGACCAGTTTTGGCCTGTTGGCACTCTTAAGGATTTTCATATTTGGTAATGACGTGTGGGGGAAATCCTCCTAATCCGTTTAGTTCTATTCTGTTAATCCTCAGTTTGTTTATCCAGCACAAATTTTCCTAATACTCAAGTTGCCATTTCTTTCTTAGAATTTTTTTTTCTTAGAGCTTGTTTATTTAGTAATATGTCATTTCCTCAGGTTTGAGTGTTGACACCGCTGTTGTTTCAGCCTCAAAGTCCACATTGTCTCAAACAGTTGTGTGAGCTGCAAGAGATGTTACTATTTTGAATGCTATTGTCCAGCAAAGCCTGAAGAGATATTTTTGTCATCCAGTTTTATGGGTTGTGGGACTGGTTACTAGGGAGGAAACGGAGACCTTTGCTGTAAGAAGTGGTTTATTGCTCACAGTGAGGGATCCGATGCGTTCCCTTCACAGTGTTGTTACAATGCTATTAGTCATTTGTAATTTTTTTAAATTATATCAGCCTCTTTATCTGGTTGTAACCAGTTGCCTGGTTAGTTCAGTTATTCTCAGACTCTTTCTTTCTCCCAGGAGATCAGTACTGGTTTCTGTTTACTAGAGATGCCACAATACCAGAAATTTCGTAGCTGGTGCCAATACAATTGAAATCACACGATGCTTGACACCAAATTTGATACCAAGCGTACACACACACACACACACACACACACACACACACACACACACACACACACACACACCACTCCACATTGTCAGTGTTTAATATGGTGACAGAACAGTAGTGTGAAAATATTCATGTAAGAAGTCAGTGTCAGAAGTCAATATTTTGGCCAAACAAGATAGTGTTAGCCTTTGTGACGTGTTGCCACAACAGATACCAGCTGTCGCATTTTGCAAACAATAATGGAAACATTTCAGGACACGATCATTTTTTTGACATGTTGTTACTATAAAGTCAACAACCAAAACTCACTCATCTTAAATTCTCTGTTTTGACACGCCACCTCAAATGCAAAAATATTTTTTTCCACAAGTTACGTATTTGTATTTGACATCAGACTCGAATACCATTTACCCTCTTTAAGAGAGCCTGAGGCAGTAGTCACGATTTGGCAGAGAGGTTCAATGAGAAGAAATGTAGCACAGGTGTAAGTAATAACATTAAGGATGGCTGTGTCCCATGTAGGTGCTCCACTTTGTTTCCTGCTTCTCTGCATGTTTGGAACCTATAATTAATAACCTATATAATTGATGTTTTTTGCCACACCTGTTCTTTACCTGCCAAATGTCTATTGTGAAAAGGGCCTCTAATGACGAACTGTAAGCCAAGCCTGACAGTGTAAAAAGACATCTTAATATGTGACTGACCCGTGTTGATAGCTCTGCGCTGTCGCTTCTGGCAACAGTGACACATTACTGGTAAATCATGTACATGCCAATGTTAAGGCTAGTGATCTCTGACTGATGACTCCTAAATGAGCCAGGGCAATCGTTAGCATCACATAGTGACACAGGGAGCTGCTTTACAACTCTGAACCCCCAACTTTCCAGTTCAACTTTTAACATTTAAATGATACTGTATGTTCATTATCCACAAGTTGTTGGACTGCACTTAAATCTACAGTCAGTATTTCAAGTAATATCATTAAGTATGTATTGTATAAAAGTAAAGCGCACCCCTCTGTTGGCCTTTCTGAAATGTGCACCGACACTGTTCACTAGCTTTCACTTGAAATTTCAAAATGATAGAGCTAGATGTTTCTTTCTCTAGGAAAACAAATAGTACAGATTAACATGTAGAGAGCACACCGATATACAGCATTAATGTTAATTGGCTGAAATAACAGTTGTCAATTCAATTGGTTACACCGGCACACACAGTTGCTGTCTAGAAATAGGATACTTGTACTCAATGTAAACGTATACATAATACATGATTGTGTTTTTCGATATTAATGGTGATTATTATTATTGGAAGAAGAGGGACAGGATACTTTGACAAGGAGTAAAATCCCTCTCTTCATGCTTAACTTCAGCTGTAGTGGAGATAGGGGAGATGTTTTTACCCTTGTGGAGATTGTACAGTGGAAATCACATTTATTTTCTTTGGCTTGAGTTTTCTTCACATTCTGGAGTTAACCCATTGTTAATTCAATTTAAGATCATTTGGGAACAAAAAGTATCAGGAATTGTAGAACGTCATCGATTCCCAAATAATGGAAACAGAAAGGTTGCCAGTGAAACAAAGGGTTTCAGTTGGAAGATAAGGACTCCTTGGGCAGCAAAGGGAGTAGGCTACACACTGATAAGAATATATAGGGTACTGTGCACACATGAGTGAATGTGTTGGCCTACTTTAACAGCATAAATGTCAGTTGTTAGTCATCTGAAGCACCGGCAGTCAGAGAGGATTCCACGCTGTGTCTGAAGTGGAAATGGAAAATTGGATTACATCAAAGGAGTGCCCTCTGCTCGCTGTGATGTCCCACTCCAACATACAAATACATAGGCAGCTCTATCTGAGAGGCAGCTAATGATATGATAATCCTACAAATTGTCACTCTGTGCTTTAGATTAAATTGTTGTCGCCATAGCTACATGCCTAGCTGTGCACGTGCGTGGCTTTCCAGCAACACACACACACATGCACACACACACACACACAATATAGTCTTTATATACTAGGGGTGGGGGGTTACTAGACTGAGAGTGGACAGAAAGTGGTTGCTGGGCAATGAATGCCTAAAATGCACCGTGCTATAAGAAAGAGGTGGAGTTGAACTAATGAGTTTGACGGCCTACCAATGCTCTTGCATCTCCCGAGACCTCAGGGAGCGTTAAAGTGAGGAAGACAGTGAGATGTTCAGTTGCAGCAGGAGGGCTAAGAATTTTATTGTGATTATCACACATTTCCTCAATTCTTCTTTTCTTTGTAAAATTTTACGGCTGTATTTTCTAGCTGTGTAGAGGAAGGCTGTCACTTAAAACACATGCTGGGTTGGCTTTGTGATCATTAGTTTTACTCC